ACTCTTTCCACTGCTGAGCGCCGGCCAGGCCTTTGGACCTGCTGCAGCTTCTGCTGCTGGTAATCACCTTCAGCAGCAGCTGCAGGCGCAGTTTCTGCTCGGTAATCAGGTAAGTCCTTTGCCATCATTTTAGAAACAGAAAAACCAATTTAGAACCGAAAACAATCTGCTTACCTCATCTACGTAGGGCTTCTTTCCACCCACTGCCAATGCCGCCCTCCTTCAGCAAAGTCTGCAGAACTTGGCTGTTGGTTTCGGTGGCCAGCAGCAGCAACAGCAGCAGCAGCACTCACCGACCTCGTTGCCTTCCATCGTCGTCTCTTCGCCCTCCTCCATCGCCTCCAGTGGCCACCACCACCCTTATCACCACCACCAACAAAACCATCAGAACTCGCCGGGGCCCAAGTCAGAGGATGGAAACGGCAAGGGTGCCAAGAAGAGCAAGTTCAACTTTAGTGATCTCTACGGTGGCGGCGAAATTCCCAACAACCAGCACCAGCATGGACCGCTCAAGCGGCACCGCAGTGGCTTCACCGCCAGCGACATTGTCGATATGTACGCCTTCAAGAAGACCGTTCGGGAGATGAGTCTCAAGCAGCAGCAGCAGCAGCATGAGCAAAGTCTCAACGGTCATCATCACCCGCTGGATTCTCATGAGCAGCAGCAGCAGCAAAACAGTGAGGACGAAGCGGAGACAAACAACAGACAACATTCCAACAGCAAAGCAAACGCTGAACAGGGTAGTCCTAGTTCTTCTCACAAGCGCAGTCTGACGCCGCCGTCAGTCGCTCGCAACTCCTCGTCAGCGGAAAATCCACTCAGCAACATCTTTATCAGCAGTAGTCAACAGCAGCAGCAGTCATCGAAGCTCTCATCGCCCACCATTCACCACTTTAGTCCTACCATCACAGCGGCGAGCAATAATCACCACCACCACCCTCACCACCAATCTCAGGGAACTACCACTAAAAGTACCGGTGGTGGGAGTAGCCTCTCCTCAGTCAGCTCTATTCCCGCTAATCAGCTTCGTGCACATGTCAGTCGAGCCGACGCAGAGGAGATTACCGATCTGGAGGAGCTGGAGCAGTTTGCGAAGACCTTCAAGCAGCGGAGGATTAAGTTGGGTATGTTTTCGGTCATTGTTGTTGTTATAAAAGCCTGCTTTTTTCAAACCAAAACAATCGCTTCTTATTCCACCACTATTTGCAGGCTTCACCCAGGGCGACGTCGGCCTGGCGATGGGCAAGCTGTACGGCAATGACTTCAGCCAGACGACCATCAGTCGCTTCGAGGCCCTGAACCTCAGCTTCAAGAACATGTGCAAACTGAAGCCACTGCTCCAGCGGTGGCTCGAGGACGCCGATGCATCCCTCAACAGCCCGGGCGGCGGTGGCAGTGGCAGCTTAGGAGCCGTCGGTGGCCTCACCGGAGGAAACATGGGCGGAGGGGGCGGCGGCGGCATTGTCCTGCCCTCTCCGGCGGCGCTGGCCGCCATGCCCGAGGCGGTCAGTGGTCGTCGGCGAAAGAAACGAACCAGCATCGAGACGACAGTGCGCGTCTCCCTGGAGCGGGCCTTTCTCGCCAACCCGAAGCCCACCTCGGAGGACATTTGCATGCTCGCCGATGCCCTCTGCATGGAGAAGGAGGTGGTCAGGGTGTGGTTCTGCAACCGCCGTCAGAAGGAGAAACGCATCAATCCGCCCGGTCCTGGTGGCGGTGGCGGAGGCGGCGGTGGTGGCAGTGGCAGCTACGATGGCTCGCCCATCGGCTCCCCCTCCGATATGATGTTTGGCAGCGGAGTTGGTGGTGGTGGTGTTCTGAATGCCTCTAACCCCTTTGGAGGCTCATCCTTTGGTGACCGAAGTGGTAAGTGGGCTTTCCATTTTTTATCTGTAGTTTTTAGTTTAATTTTTTAACTCTTTTTCCGCCTGTTCTTCAGCAAACGCCGCCTCCTCCAGCTCCAACGCCTCCTCGTACGCCGACTCGCCGCTGCCGCCCGTCTGTCCGCCCACCTCGCTGACTCCGACGATGATCAGCTCGCTCTCCTCGGTCCTCGCCGGTGGGCTCGGTGGTGGTGGTGGTGGTCCTGGTGCTGCTGCCGCTGCTGCTGCTGCTGCTCACCTTCACCGCCACTTTGGAGGAGGAGGTGATGGCAACGATTCGGATGGAGAGGATGAGGAAATCGAGGACGACGACGAGGATGAAGACGATGAAGACGATGATCTCAACGGGGGTGGTGGTGGTGGTAAGCTTCAGATGTGCTCGCCTACATATCAACAGCAACAGCAGCAGCAGCAAACCTTGTCGATCAGTAGTAACCCTAGTGAACTCCTTCCTCTTCCTCAATCGCGATCATCAGCCTTCTCACCGCCCACTTCACTTCAGCGCCCAGCGCCCTCATCACCTTCTCTTCCTGAGAACACCTCNGATCTCAACGGGGGTGGTGGTGGTGGTAAGCTTCAGATGTGCTCGCCTACATATCAACAGCAACAGCAGCAGCAGCAAACCTTGTCGATCAGTAGTAACCCTAGTGAACTCCTTCCTCTTCCTCAATCGCGATCATCAGCCTTCTCACCGCCCACTTCACTTCAGCGCCCAGCGCCCTCATCACCTTCTCTTCCTGAGAACACCTCACCCTCTTCTATTTCTACACCTCCTGCCTCCGCCTCTTCAGCATTTGTGCCCCTCAGCACCAGCAGATAGATGATACGATAATCAAAAGTTGATATCTCAGACCTAGACACACCCCACACATGTTGAAATAGTGATCATTGCCTTATCTCTTCATTCCCTCCCTTTCCCTCTCTCTCTCACTTTGTACCGTATCCCCCAGCAATTACCGAGCAATTACGACACACCTACACCTCCTCATTCTTATTTATACACTCCCCACCCTTTTGCAGACGCCCTTGCTTTTACTTACTTACTTCTTCCTCCTCTTCTTTTTCATTACCTTGAAAATGACTGTAAATTGATACGATTATTATTGCTTCTACTACCTGTACTTCATGAAGATTATTATTTATCACCTCTATTTGATACATAAAGAGTTTTATTTACTACCGAAATGGGTTAACTTTGATTTCTGGTGCGTAACGTTGTATGTGGGCGGTCGGGAAGATGGCTGCTTTGGTGTTTGTTGTTGTCGGCAAAAGAGA